GTATAAGAAAATTGAATGGTCAAATTTTACGTTTCCAGTTATTGATAAACCTGGGATTCATACACGTAGGCAAGGGCATAAATTGAATAATAAACTATTAAAAATTGTCCAGCAAGATTTAATTTTTTTTACAAACAGAGCTGCAAAATTGTAGAAGATCTTAAAAACCGGAGATTCTAATGCATCATTTAAGGCTATTTTATCATCCAGATATGATTATTAACGTTTACATTCACAATGGTGTTGTAGCCAGCAACATTAACAATTAAATACTTTTTTAATGTTTTTTGGTTGTTCTACTCAAGAAACAGCTTTGTATGTTCATGCTTATAGTAACAGCTGCAATAACCTGTGATAAGTTCTGCAGGGATACATTATCTTTGTTTCAGCATTGATACATTATATATATATATATATATATATATATATATATATATATATATATATATATATATATATATATATATATATATATATATATATATATATATATATATATATATATACAATTATACTCTATAACTTTTTTAATGAGGGTGAAAGCATACCTCTATATGTATACATATACTCATATAGATAAAAATACATGCATACATACAATTATACAATATTTATTTATATAATAACAGGCTTAACAAATTTAAAACATTTCAATAGAGTTTGCTATAAGGTATTTTAATAGTTACTATAAAGTATTTAAATATGTGACTTGAATGATTTATTAGAGCTTAGAGATAAAACTAACAATTGCTAGTGGGTAGTTAAACTTGTAGTCATTTTTGTAACATTTTAATTAAAATATATTTTTGTGATAGCACTTCAATATAATTTAAGTTCATTTATCTAATAACTTTTTGTGTAGATTATATAGCAGACCATTTAAAAGGTTTCATTAAACTAGTTATTCAATTCTCAAAATCTCATATAGGGTGACTATCAAAATATTTTCAAATTTCAAATCTCATATAAAGTGGTTTGTATTTGACATAATTTAATAACGATTTATGTTACATATTGTTTTCTATGTGCCCCAAAATAATTTTTATTGACAGATTCTAAGCAAAAACCATACATTTTTAATGCTTGTGGAATTATATTTTTCATCCATGGAGCACTCTGTTTTTTTTTTTTTTTTTAATTATCTTCGCTTCCAACAAGGTTGCAAGCAACCACTAATTAGTGTTGGAAGTTACTGGAAGAGAAAAGATAAAGATTATAGAGCAAGAAAACGATTGACAGACGACTTAAAATATTGCAAATTATATGAATCAGGAAAGCAAGATGAAGGAAGCAAATTCCAAATAACTGATGTTCGAGGAAAAAAACTAGACAAATAAGAGTTTTTGGAGCACTTAGGAATAGTAACAGAAAAAGGATGAGACTTAATTGAATGACGAGTAACACGAGGATGAATTTTAGTAGATGGCACAAGAGACGCTAGCTCTTTAGAGCAGTGCCCATTATAGTATTTGCAGAAAAGAGAAAGAGAAGCAACATTACGACGATGTGACAGAGGCTGAAGGTTGGCTGCAAGAGCAGGTCCAACTATGTTTACAATGCGTTTTTGCACCTTGTCTAAAAGAGAAAGGGCATCATTAGAAGATCCGCCGCAGATATGGCAACAGTATTCCATACAAGGCCGGATTTGAGATTTATAGAGATAGAGAATAGAATCCAGAGTAAGAAAGTGATGAGCTCGATAAAAAGAAGCAACTTTAGCAGATGCTAATTTTGCAACGGATTTGATATAAGGTTTCCAAGAAAGATCAGAAGTAAGAGTTAATCCTAGAAGATGAAGGGTAGGAAACTCATCGAGTACATTACCGTTCATAAATATAGGAAGGTCTAAATTATTGCGATAACGATTGGCGGAAAAAAATTGAGTTTTATCTGAATTAAAGTTCACCAGCCACTGCGAGCCCCATGCTGTAGCAGAAGTGAGATCCTTTTCAAGCTCAGATGCCCCCTGCAAGCAATCAGAGGGAGTTGGCTTCTTATCGTGACAAGAATAAATGGTAGTATCATCAGCGAACAATGTCACCTTAGATGTGAGAATATCTGGAAGATCGTTAATGTAAATTAAAAAGAGTATAGGGCCAAGGATTGAACCTTGGGGAACCCCTGAGGTTACAGAATAAGAAGAAGAGTGCTGTCCATCAAGGACAACTTTTATACTACGATTGGAAAAGAAGGATTCAATAATCTTAAAGATGTTTCCAGATACACCATAAGAAGAAAGCTTATGGAGGAGTCCAGCATGCCAAACTTTATCAAACGCTTTAGAAATGTCAAGAGCAATGGCCTTAACCTCTCCACCTTTATCTAATGCGCGATAAAACCTATCGGTTATTACTGATAGCAAATCAGACGTAGAACGAGAAGATCGAAATCCATACTGATGATCAAAAAGTAGGTTATGAGATTCGAGATGAGAGATAAGTGTTTGTAAACTAAAGATTCAAAAACCTTGCTTATGATAGGAAGAAGACTAATGGGACGGTAGTTAGATGAGTCAGATCACTCTCCAGAATTTTTAAAAATAGGTATAACAGATGCTGCTTTTCAGCAGGCTGGAAAACAAGACTCTGATAAGCACTTGTTAAATAGTTTTGAAAGAGTAGACGACATCTCCAGAGAACACTTCTGCAAGACTATAACATGTATGTTGTCCGGGCCGCAAGCTGTAGAAGAGTCTAAGCGGGAAATCACTTTAGATACAGAAGCTGGAGTGATACGAATGTCGAGCAATGGATCAACCTGTTTGACGGGTATATCAGGTAGAACGCAACTAGTGGCATCAAGAGATGATATTGATGAAAAGTTCTTGGCAAACAATTCAGCTTTGTCTTTAGGTGAGGTGACAAAGTCTGAACCGTACAAAAGAGGTGGAATTACAGACTTGCCCTTATTATTGATACTATTAAAGATTCTCTAGAAGTCACGAGAGCCTAATTTTTGTGATGAAATACGAGATTTCATGATCTGAGAATAGCGGGCTTTGGCGTTAGACAAAACCTTTTTACAATGGTTCCTAGCAGTAATAAACAGACGTCTGTTTTCTGGAGAATTGTTTTGCTGATAGATATGGAAATAATGGTTTCGATTGGCAATTGCAGCAGCACAATGTGAGGAAAACCACGGAGAAGAGTGAGGCTTGACCTGGAATTGTCGAGAGGGAATAAAGGATGGGGATAAATGCTTTTTCTACCCAGGGGCCATCACGAAGAAAGTCACGAAAAGAGTCCCAGTCAGCTTTAAGGTAGTTGTAAGATGTACGATGATAGGGGGATTCTAATGGTAAAGAAGAATGTGATAATAATTTTAGAGAGACCAAACCATGATCAGACGCACCTAAGGGTGAGTGTGAAGAAACTGAACACTGACTAGGATCAGAAACAAGACATAAGTCGAGTAGAGAAGGTAAATGATTCGAGTTGTCTGGAAAGCGAGTTGGAAAGTTGACTATTTGAGTTAGGGATTGAGAAAGACAAAAGTTATGGGCCTTAATGCCTGCAGAGTCACTGACATTAGAGCCAAGCCATTCAGTGTGATGAACATTAAAGTCACCGACAACAACAACATTGGCTGATGGATAAAGAATGAGGGCTTGGTCAATATAATCAGAAATAACATCAAGAAGAGTGCAGTCTTAAGATGAGGGAGAGCGATATAGAAAAAAGAGAAAAGTGATAGAGTGAAGTGGTGCTAAACGAAAGCACATAAAAGAGTAGTCTGTGGATTCAAACCTAGTTTCCCGACAAATGGGTGAATTCTTACGAATGTAAATGCACAGGCCAAGCATGTGACTATTGGAGTCTTTACGAATTAAAGGAAGATAACTATCAACACTAAGATCACAAGATGAGACAGCTGAACTCAAATTAGTCTCACAAAGAGCAAGCAGGTCTGGTGAACTTTGCAAGAGATAAGACTCAACAGAAGAAAAGTTACTTTGAAGACCACGAATATTGGTGAATGATAGGTTTAGCGAACTTGGTGATGACTGTGGTTTTTTGTGTTTTATAGTTTTTGTTACTTTATTCATTTTTAAATTTGTTAAAGAACTTGACTCGAAACATAGATAGTACTCAGTACACTGTTCTATAGCTCAAGCAATTGCCTCATTTCCACTAATAAACCCTAAGCCGTAACAAAGGGCTCCAATGTGGCCTTGGCAATGCACACCAAAAGTACAAACAGGGACACCATCCATGCGCAACATGGCACTGTTAGTACTCTGATATTTTTCAGCTGTTGATGGAATCAGCCTCTCTGAGAGCTACCACAGAGTTCGGGAAACCTGACTACCAGCCGGCCTCAGAACCATAAAACTGAGTTTTAGAGCTGTACCCTCATTTGGAGATAATAGAATGAGTTGCCTAGTCATAAAAACAGAGACACAAGCAAAACCCATGAATCGAGTCAAGAAGATCCAGTGTTCAACATCCTAAACTGGAAACAATGAATTAAAAATACATCTGCGCCAGCCTAATAGATGACAAAGGGGTGCGAGGCTGGTCAAGAGATAGAATCTGTTTACCCCTTAAGTCTTTGCCTAGGAGGCCTTCTACAAGACAGCAGCTGGATGCATGTAACATCTGCCCTAGATGAGTATTTTTATTGAGACATTATCTCTAGCCTTTACTCAACCAAGAGCCCCAAGGCAGGGGGTGTTTTATGTCGGAGTTTGCATCTCCTAGCCTTTGCCTAAAAAGGCATATCCTACAAGGCAGCAGGACATGAAGCAGATTGTACTGGGTTCCATTACAAACCTTTTTATATTGTTAAAACTAGCCTTATTATTTATGAATAACAACAAACATAGTGTCATTGCTACAAAAATGGTTTTTTTTAAAGCATTAGATTTTAGATGATTATTTTTGATTTTCAAAAAAAAGCATTTTTTTGTTGCAGTATAGAAACACTTGCAATTTGCTGAATGACATAAAAAACAAAAAAAGATTGAACTATGAAAAAAAAAAAATAATAATAATAAATACCATAATACTTCTCTGACCAAAGGAAACATAACTTTTGATGAGCTAAATATAATAAATAAATAAATTAATACATGGGTTTAACCACAGCTACTGTGTTTTGCCCAAATAAAGGGTAAGCTGGCAAAACACTTGCTCAGCTGTGCAATAAATTATTATAGTACTTTATAATTTTTAATATTCTAGAGTTTTCTGGTGGAATAGTTCGCTATTCACCATTAAATATGATTTTAGTTTTTTCTTATAAATAGATGTGTTTTGTTTATCTTGAATGATACTTGGAAGAATATTCTAAAGTCTAGGACCATAGTGGGATACTACCCGATCACCAAAACGAATGCTGGATTTTGTTTCTTTTAATTTTAGAGTTCTCTCTGATGTTGAAAAGTGAATCAAATTACACAATGATGCTGGCGCTTCCTGGATAATAGACTTGTGCATTATTAATAAAACCTTGAAATAAATTCTTTCTCTAATTTAAGCTAATGCAAATTGATAAATACCTGGTCATTTATTTATTTTCTATTCTGGTTTTAAATACTAGTCTTGCTGCACAATTTTGAACAGACTGCAGTTTTTTTAATAGTGACCTTTCAATTCCAAAGGGAATTGCAATAATCTAGCTGTGAAAAAATTAATGAACATACTATGGTGCAATAATCTTTATGCGATAAGAATTGTTTTATTTTGGATATTTTGCTGATTATATTATAACAACTTTTCACAATCTTATTTATCTGTGTTTTCAAAGACAGTTTATTGTCAAGTATCACACCCAAATTTTTTGTGGAGTCAAAAAATCTAATGCATTCCTTGTTAACAAAAGTACCTTTAATAATAATATCTTTTTGAATGTTAGGTGGTGCCATAATTAGTATTTTTGTTTTCGATTGGTTAATGCATAAGAATGATTCGCTCATCCATTTAGATATGTGTCCAAGACATTCTGGTATATCCAGAACTAATGCATTATATTGCAAAGAAGGAAGGAATGCTTTGAGAGTTTGATGATCATCTGAGTATCCAAAAGTTTTAACATTGATTATGTTCAGATGTTTGTACAGTGGTCTCATATAGATATTAAATAGTTTTAAACCCAGTACTGTACCTTGCGGTGCTCCATATTTGACATTTTGGTTTGTAGAGTATGAGTTACCAATTTTAACATTTTGGGTACGATTAACTAAAAATGATTCAAACCACTTGTGAGCAGAGTCCATTATGCCTATTTCACTAGTTAATCGCCCAAGTAGTTTTTGTTGATCAATAGTGTCAAAAGCAGCACTTAGATCAAGTAACATAAGTACTGAAGGTGTATTCTTATCAAAGAGTTCAATTATATCATTGGTAAGCTTCAGCAAAAGTGTTTCAGTAGAATGATGTTTTTTGTATCCATATTGATATTCTATATAAAGATTGTTTGTTGTCATGTGGGAATTTAGACGATTGGAAACTACTCTTTCTATTAGCTTGCTAATAGAAAGATTAATGTTATGAATATAATGCTAATGAATACTATGAGTATTGTTATGAATAATGCTAATGAATACTAAATTGGAAACTAAATTGGTCTATAATTTTTGAAGTTTTCTGTATCTGTGGTGGCAGAGTCTAACTTCTTTATTATTGGAAGTAATGTAGCACTTTTTAGACAATCCATGCTGCTTGATTCTAGCGATAGGTTTACTATTTCCACCCTTATATGTATAAATGTTTGTAAATTATTCTTTAGTAGATATGCTGGAATGGGATCATCTGGAGAACATTTTATTCCAAATGACATGGCTATATCGTAAATTTCTTCGTAAGTTGTTGGATCAAAATTTTTTAAAAACTGACCATTATAATCTGATGCGCTTTTCTTTGTTTGGGGTGTTAGAAGATTTGATCTGAGTTTTCTGATTTTTTCAGTAAAATAACTGTTGAAGTTGTAAGCCAGTTCTTCGTCTGAATTCACTGATGGTAGTGCATGTTCCTGAGTTTTATCTAGTAGCTTGTTTACCATTGAGAATAGATTTTTACTTGAGATGTTTTTATGTAATAGGTTAGAGAAATACGTTCTTTTTTTTATATAAGCAGTAATTGTTGTTTTTTTTCTGAGGCGTATATATATTTTTTTGTCACTTTTAATTTTGGTTCTCTTAAATAATTTTTCTGCTTTTCTTCGTTTTTGCCTTAGTTGCATATATTACCCATCAAACCATAACCAAGGAGCTGTATTCACTATTTTTACTATTTTAGTTTTCAAAGGAGCATGTTTCTGTACAATTTCTTTCATTACTTGATTATATATTGTTATTTTCTCTTTCATGTTTTCAGTGGATGAGATTTTCCATTTATTTCTTAATATTTTATTGTTGAAAGACTTCATGTCTACTGTTTTTAAACTCCTGTATATGATAGTGTGGTATGTGTTTTTTCCTATTTTTTGTTCTAATTTAAAATCAATGAGAAAATGGTCACTCAAATCTAAGTCTGTCACAGCAAGCATATCAACTGATATTTCATCCCTTTTTTTTTTTTTAATTCACATCCTCAAGGCCGAGAAAGCCACTACAGACGAGGAGGCTACTTATTTGTGGCTATAACCCTCTCTCAACTCTATAACTCCGAAACACGAACCTTGATGAACAAGGCCGCTGCGCGGAGAAACGAGTTGAGCGCTGTACTACCAGGGACGTAACGAGGATCGAACTCCGAACCACTCGTTTATGAAGCGAGCGCTCTACCACTACACCACTACCGCTCTACCACACCACATACCTCATCTGGTTTATTAATTACTACATCTAATATGTGTCCCATTTTATGAGTTGGTTCTTTGACATTTTGTATAAGATTAAGTGCATCTAGTAATTTCTTAAAACTTTTGCTATGTAGTCCTTTGGTATCTAAGTGTATATTTACATCACCAGCTATAATGTATGTGCAACCTATTGATACTATTATTTCAAGTAAAACCATGAATTCGTCCAGGAATGTTGTGTGAGAAACAAATATTAGTCTATATATGCAAATTAGAATTAGTGATCGTTTCGCTACCATAATTTAAACACATACATGTTCAAAGGAGTGAAACTGTTTATTCGGTAGTTGTTTGTGCATAATTGATTGTTTTAGCATAATTCCTACACCGCCACCTTTTACTTTATCTCTTTCTTTTCTTATTTTATGACGCAAAACATATCCATAACTTTTTATCATTGCTGTTGTATTATTGTTTGGATTATATGTCTGGATTCCTATCAAGTATATGCTCCATTACATCTGGAAGTTTATTAATAAGAGCAGGCCTTGTGATGAATAAAAACTGCGCAATGCATAATCACGAAGTGATTTTTGATGCCATTAAATTCTTTTTATTTGCTTTTTATATTTATGGACATTAACTGGACCATTTTACTTAATTACCGCAAAACTACTTTAAATCATTAATGTAGAAATGTTATTACTTTAAAATGTTTTGGAACGTTTCGTATTTTAAAATGTAAAAACATTTGTTTATTTTCTCGACGTTAAACACGTTTTGTATATACTAAACGAATAAAAAACATAACTAAACATTTAAAAAAGATTATAAAATATGCTAATATTTGATTTTTTTTTTTCTCAAATATCTAATTTAAAGTTTTTCAAATAATTATTTTTTCTTTTTAAAGTCAGGGAGAAATAAACTGGAAATTTTAATATTGTTCGATTAAAAACTGTGCAATAGCTAATATTTTTACCAGCGATTTTATATAACATTTTTTTATTTATTTATTTTTATTTATTTTTATAAAGCGGTTGATAAGCACAATCACTCGTATTACTAAAAAACGTTAACGAATGTTTTGAATAGATTTTTAATGTTTACAACTTTTGTAAACATTAAAACAAAAAAGCGATTGTTATTATTTAAGTAATTTTTTTTTTGAGTTTCTTTTTACAAAAATTTAAATAACTGTACTTTTTTATTGAATCAAGTAGAATACATTTTAATATTATTCCTTTTATTTTATTTTTTATTTGCGCTTACCAATTTTTAAAATGTTTCCTCGAAATTACTCTTAAATACTTTAAATACGTCTAACAGTTAATAAATATTTTTAAATCTATGGTATAATTTTAAAACCTAACAAACCCCCGTAAAATAATTATTTAAGTTAAAAATCTAAAACTAAAAGCAAGTATTTTTGTTCAATTTTATCAACAACTTTGCTATTGCTGAATAATTTTATTAAAATGTTAGCTTAAAAAGATTTAAACTTTTTTTTTAATCTGAATTTTTTCTACTTGTAAATAAAGAGCATAAATAATTTTTTTGTAATTCAAACTTTTATATCAACTGCGTGCGGTTTTTAAAATACGTTAGAAAAAATGTTAGATCATTTTTCTTGCAATTATTCGCATAATGTCCAAAGCTTTGACAGTTAAAATAACGCATTACATTGAGTTTGTCATATATCCTGCAGGATGTTAATTCAAGTGTGACTTTCCCAAAGACTTTAAACATTGTTGGTTTGTTTTTTATCGGTTTGATAGCTTCTATTTTAAAATGATCTTTGATGTTGTCACTTTGCTAAATTCTTGGATAAAACTGTTCTGTGAGTATAGCATATTAACAACTTATACTCTCTAGGTAAACCACTGATGATAATTTCTTGCATGTTCAATTGACATGATTTTATTTTTATTTATTTGTTCGTGTCTTTGAGAGAATTCATCAATTGGTCTTTAGATTCTTCTGAGTTACATACTAGGACAAGATCCCCTGATTTATTATGATACAAATTTTTCAATTGAATATTATTATTCATAACTATGTTTTCAATTATATCCATGTTATTTTTGTTAGTTTTTTCATCAGATATTTTTCAGATAACTAAAAGAGAGTCTGGCGTTGGAGTTTTTACTGTATTTAATCTTTCCTTGTTAAACCATAAATTATCTTTTTCCTATTTGGTGTCACTTGAGTTTTTGTTTAACAGTTGTTTTATTTCATTGAGCTGAGTTTTGATATCAGTAACATTACATTCTAGAGTGTTCAGCCTCAATATTTCAGATTTAGATAAATTTATTTCTAGGTTGGTTAGACATACATCACAAAAGAACAGAAAATTTTTCTTAGTTAAAGGGAGAAGGAAATTTGAAACTGTGGTTTTGCTGGCTGCTTTATCTTCTTTTGGAATAGATGGGAAAACAATGTGAAACTTGGATTTGCATACAAAACATTGAACATTTTCTGTTACTGATGATGTATTTTCACAGGCAGGACACAAACCATTGTTATCTAATTTATTGGTAATTGACATTCTTTGGCTTTCTTAATTGATGTATTTTTTATAGGAAAGAACCACTTCTTGTAGGGAGAGCTACCACCTTTTTTGCAGTGGATTATCTCCCAGTCGTGATCTATTATATACTATTAATACCTAAAACTTAATACGCAGGGACTAAAAAGTTTCAGTATGTGTTTTTTCCCGTGAATTTTATTTAAATATCAAATAAATAAAATAATAATAATAATTAACGCTATCAAAATTTCATATTGATAGCGTTAATTAGCTTTCATTAGGCAATCATTATCATTTATATTATGTAACTAAATAATGGGAAATAGTCATTTTTAAATATTTATGGCTACTTTATATATATGAATCAATGAAAACTGATACTATTTATTTGTACATTATTATTACTATTTATTTACTATTATTTATTTACTTTTTATTTACTATTTTTATTTATTATTTATTATTTTTATTTATTATTTACTATTTTTATTTATTATTTATTATTTATTTACTATTTATTATTTACTATTTATTTACTTATTATTACTATTTATTGTACATTATTATTACTATTTATTTACTTACTGAAACAACTTTTTTTTTTAAGATAAGCAATACTTTGATTATAATGATCAAATATGATATAACATTTTTAAAAAATATCCAGAATATCTCCAAATATAAATATCATAGCCATGCATAGCTCACATTTATGCTATCCCATAAATTGAATGTGGCTATCATTTAATGACATAAAAATCAAATATTTGAGCAATTTAAAAGCTTCATGTCATGTACCTAACTATAAAGGTATATTATTGTGCACCAATGTTTTTTATTTGTTACTTTAAATAAAAATACCAATTTTAATAATATATTATAATGTTAGCAAAGTACAAAAAAAAAATTAAAAAAATTAGTAACTCACCATTGATTATTTTCAAATACTTGATACTTAACATGAGTTTGTTGCATTTCTGTATTAAATTGCCAGTTGTAACATAGTGATAATAAATATATAAAATCTTAAAACAAATATTTTTTTTTATTAACTAAAGAAAAAAAAATCATTAAGAAAACAAAAGGTATATGCAAAATATTGTACATTTTCAGATCTGAATAAATTAAAATAATTATTTTATAATTTAAAAAAAATTTATACAACTATATTTAAATTATATTAAATTTTTTAATAAGTGTTTTAACATCAATTAGATTCCAAATATCGACAAAAATATTATTATCATAGAAATATAATAGCACAATCATGATGATAGCAATATCATACTGTAACCATGATTTCATTTGAATAACTAAATTTGCTAAAAATACAATATTATTTTAAAACTACAAAATTAGGTAAATAAAAATTATTTAAACTTTTATATAAATAATACTTGTTGTTTTAAGTATACTTTTAGTGAGGGCATTGCTAAAAATAAAAAAAAATAAACATATGATAACATATATAATACAAAACTATACATAAAATGATACATTATATCATGCATATATAATAATATTATAAATACTTTTTGAAACCAATATTTATATCATAAAATTAATATGATATAAACATTGGTTTTATTAAATTAATTTATTTTAAAATTTATTAAAACTTTTAATCGACTTAAATTCTAAACTTGAAATAAATAAGACCTTTATATATTAAACAGGTTTCATAAATGTTACTAAATTTATTTTGTTTAGCTTTTTAAAATTGAAGTCCAAATTTATACTTGATTTAAATTTAAATTTTTAAATTTTTTTTAAGATAAGTAAACAATAAGATCAAACTTTTCGCGGCTTTTTTTGTTTTGTTTTTAACGATTTGCAGATTTTTTAATTTTAAGCAAGGCGTACTTAAATAACAGGCCTTCTCATCGCGCAACGGCTTAAAAAATGTGGAGGCTGATTTAGTTAGCGGCAAAAGTTACTACGAATAACTTGTATCCCTACCAGTAGACTTAAAAATGCCCAGAAAATGTTGTGTTACTGGTTGTAACTCTAACTATGACTCAGTAAAAGATAAGACCACTACTTTCAAATTACCGAGAGATCCAGTAGAGCGTCTAAGATGGATTAAAGCAATCCCAAGAGAAAATATACCAGACAAACATGACACTGTAGTTTGTGCAAAACATTTTCCACCAAACTTCCAAGTTATTAAAGTAAAAGGAAGAGAAAGACCTCGAGATCCACCTAGTGTATTCGAACAAATACCCAAGAGTTTAGTGCCAACTCCTCCACCAGAAAAAAGAACAACAACAAAATCCAAAAGCTCTGTAAGATCAATAAAAGAAGATGAACTTTCAAAATTCGAAGAGCTTTACAAAATTGATTCATTCGAAAATTTTTGTAATTCGTTATCTCTAGAAAAACTTAATGATTCAGTTGTTTATTATAATTGTTTAAATAGCTGTTGTATTCAATCAAAAGAGCATGAAAACAATACTGGTATTAATAAATTTTGTTTAATAGTATTTAATGACTTATCATATGAAGCCTATCATGCTGGAGTAAGATGCACTATTGCTTCCTTAGTTAAAAATGGTATTCATAAGTTCAAATGTTGGTCGCAAGTTCATGAGGCATTACGATATTTGATTTCCTTTGAAAAGTCAGAAAAGAAAACAGTTTTAATTCAGCAATTTGAATGCATGAGTAACATGAACTCAAGTAATATTCTTAAGCAAAAATATTCGCCTGAAGTAATTGTTCAAGCTTTTGAGTATTTTGCACAGTCACGTAGTTTATACAATCAATTAAGAAATGATTTTCAACTTCCTAGTATTGCTACCCTTACACGTTTAACTTCAAAAGTTTCACACTTTGATGATAATACTTTTATTTGTAGTGTTTTTTCAAAACTCAACAATGGTCAAAAACAATGTATACTGTTATTAGATGAAGTTTATGTTAAACCTATGCTAACTTATCATGGAGGACAGTTGTTTGGTAAAGCAGTAAATGATGAATCAAATCTTGCAAAAACTGTATTGGCTTTCATGGTTGTATGTTTTTATGGAGGACCAAAATTTTTAGTTAAAATGTTACCAGTAAATAATTTAGATGCAGATTTTTTATATGATCAAACTATTATCTTAATCAACCAAATTACGAAGACAAATGGAAAAGTTATTGCTTTAATTAATGATAATAATAGAGTAAATCAAGCATTTTTCAAACGATTTGATTGCATATTTCCATGGTTAACAACTAATGGCAATTTTTTACTCTTTGATTTTGTGCATTTAATAAAGTGTATACGAAACAATTGGATAACTGAAAAGTCTGCTGAAATTGAGTTTAGTTATAGAGGAAAAAAATATAATGCTAAATGGGATCACATCAAAAAGCTTCAAAAGTTAGAAGAAGGTGAATTGGTTAAAATGTCTAAGTTGACTTATGTTGCTGTTAACCCAAGGCCAATTGAGAGACAAAAAGTTGATACATGTTTAAAAGTTTTTTGTGAAGAGACTATAAATGCATTAAAGTGTCATCAAGGTATGAAAGATGATGATATTGATGGAACTATTATTTTTTTAACTAAGGTGGTTCAATTTTGGAAAATAGTCAACGTTAAAAGTCCATCTGAAGAAATCCATTTGAAAGACAACTTACGAGCTCCCATATCATATGTTGATGATTTACGATTAAATGATTTAATTGAGTTTTCTGAAATGTTAAAGCCAACATTGATTCAAGGAAAAAGAATTAGAAGTATAACCATGGATACAAGCAATGCATTATATCAAACTTGTAATGGTTTAGTTGAACTAAGTAAGCATTTGTTAGACAATTCTCAAATGTATGTACTGCTTGGGAATTTTACAACAGACCCCATAGAAAGAGCATTTGGAAAACTCAGACAAGGTAGTGGGGGAACTTATTTTATAAATACTCAACAAGTAATTGAAAAGTGGAATATCAACAAAACCAAACTATTTCTTCAGAAAACTATCAACATTTCAAGTGCTGAGTTTACATCTGGTCATATTTGTGATAATTGTTTTTATAAACTTTCAGAAGATGAGTGTGAGATGCTTAATCATTTACATGAACTTTTAGACCAACTTTCATCGAATATTAAGTCATCTTTAGTTTACATTGCAGGTTATATTTCTAGAAAAGACAATGAAGATGATAACGATGACACTTATCTGTGTTATAGTAATTATGGAAATTTTACATCTGCCTTAGATCGTGGTGGTCTGAAAATACCCAGTGATACATTTTGTGAATGGGTATTCTTAAGTTACAATTTGTTTAATTTTGTTGGCACATCAAACTTTTGTAGATATTCTATGTCCTGCTTATTCATGGATATTGCATGTATTTATGGTTTCACCATAATTACAAGAAACCATTGTTATATTCTTACAAATATATTATTTAACAATTTTTGCTATATGCATTCACCTGCATCAGACAAGGAAACCAAAGTTAAAGCTTTAAAACTGTTTTGTTAGCTTTTGTGAATAAATATACCATAAAAAGTTTCCAATTTAACTTTAGATGATATTTCGTTTAAAAATTGTTAATTTATATTTTTACTTTTTAATTCTTTCTGTTGATGTTTCATTGTATGCAAATACATAGAAGTAGCTTGGTTATCTTTTGTTATTGTTATTTTTGAACTTACAAGGTGTTTTTTTTTTTTTTTACTTTCTTGACAAAATAACAATTATTTTTGTTTTATAAACGTTTTTGTAATAAAAATATCAACTTCTTTATAAAATGATAAAATATTATTTAGTAAAAAATGGCATGGTTTAAGCCTTACATTCTTCTTATCCTTAGTTTTTTATTTAATCAGGTTGCATTTAGATAAATGCATTTAGAGAAATAGACTAAAATAATCAAATCACAAGCTCCTACTATATTGTTAAAAGAATTTTTAAATATTTAAAACTTAAAAAAAAAATTGTTTAATAGTTGAGAGCATCAAAACCAAATCAGCCTTCACATTTTTCAAGCCGTTGCGCGATGAGAAGGCCTGTTGTTTAAGTACGCCTTGATTTTAAGCGATCTTAATTAATGGTGGGATAATCGCAATGCAAATATCGCAAAAAGGCGAGATGATTACAAAAACAAAACTAATCGATAAAATATACTTCTGCATACGTTAGGGCAATCTTTTCATTATACTATGATAGTAGTGCTACTATCTTATACCAAGGTTGAAAATCAAACGAATTTTTTGAAAAAAAAAACAACCAAACTTTGAAGAAGACAAGGTCATGCGTTGATAGAATTGATATTCCATCTATAATATCTATAATCTATCTATCTATATATCAGTGGCGGATTGAGGTTTAGTGTCGCAGTGGGGCTAATTTAATGAATAAGGGGTGACCGGGGTTGGGTCTGGTATTTTAAACCCCAGAAATTATTTTTATGACTAAAACACTTTATAAATGTTTTTATGTGACTTTTGTTATACATATTACATACATATAAGACATTAATTTTTTTTGAGTTGCCTTTGTTTATTTTAGTTAACAATTATCTTTTATAAAATAAGAAATATTTAATATTATTGAAATAGTTCGGTCATTTAAAAATGTACTTAACTAGACATATTACATAAGTTGGCATTTAGGAAAATATTCACTTTTCAGGTACTTTATTAAAGCAAAACGATTTATCAACAAGTCAAAGTCAATGGTCAATGTTTTTAGCAAGCTAAAAAGAAACAGAAATTAATGCTCATCCAGAAAGACATTCGTTTGTCATTGTTGATCTAAAATAATTTTTTGTAATCTTTAGTTTACTGAAACTTCTTTCAGCATTAGCAGATGAAACGGAAGAGTCAAGTAGATTTTGTAAAGTATAGACAAGTTAAGGAGACCGGGTGCCATCTGTTTCTCAATCAAAAACTGAAGTACATCTTTCAATTGTATGTCAGTTGTCAGTGATGGGAATATCGATGCCTACGCTTAATTGAAAGTCTCATACTCTACGACTACTTCTTCAGTATTTACGTCGTTTCAATAAATTTGACAAGAAAATATAAATGAATTTATATATTCTTCAGATAATTTTGACGGAAC